TTTCTAAATAATGAATGGGATCTTGAGCTTTGTTGTCAGTGAGCTATAGCAGGTGTGTGTGTTTCCCTCTGCAGCCTCCTCCCAGGAGAAAAGGCCTAGGTTTGATTAAGAAAGGTTTGCTCATTCACTTATTGATTAAAGCAATTAGCAGTTTCCAATTGTTCACACTGCAGTGTAACAAAAAAGATCCCTTCTTCTCAATTTAATCACCACAAATCATATATTTACTTTACTTTTTACTTTACTTTATTTGGATTTATACCCCGCCCCTCTAGACAAGGTCTACTTGGGGCGGCTTAGCACTTGGAGAAATGCAGCACTCGTTTTCTATGTGATCATAGAGGCAGAAGTGTTCTTCCTTCCTCTGAAAGGCCAGATTACAATGCACAAGTTCTGAAGTTTAGTGCCCCTTTCCCTTGCATAAAGGCAGTGGATCTGTCGTCAGCGAGCCCATCACTGTCCCGTGTTATTTTTAAGAATGATTTCTCGTCGCTTAGGAGGCTTGTCTGAAGAACATGGCACTCCACTCATACTTTAATACCAGCACATCCCAGTTGGAAGAGGGATCAGTGCTGTCTTTACCTTTTAATTTCTGCTGATCTGGATTATTGGGGTGCTTTGAGTAGTTACTACATAGTTCATTCTAATAATGTTTTATACAGTTCATGTTATTTTTAATATTCTGTTCTCTGATAATGTATATGGAGGTTGTAAATTTTGTTATATACCATCAAGTTGCTTCTGACTTATAGTGATCTCATGAATGATTGACCTCCACAAAGTTCTACCAATAACAGCCCTGCTCAACATTTGCAAATTCAAGGCCGCAGCTTCTCATATTTGATTCTGCTCCCAGAATTGTAATCTTTTCCAGTGAGTTCTTTCTTCTTGTGAGGTACTTAAAAGAACACTAGCTTGAGTTTAGTCATTTCTAAATAATGAATGGGATCTTGAGCTTTGTTGTCAGTGAGCTATAGCAGGTGTGTGTGTTTCTCTCTGCAGCCTCCTCCCAGGAGAAAAGGCCTAGGTTTGATTAAGAAAGGTTTGCTCATTCACTTACTGATTAAAGCAGTTAGCAGTTTCTGAGAATGACTCCTGGTAGGTGAGAAGTATTTTAAAAGTTCCATTATAGTCACTAAATCCAGTAATCATTAAGTTGCTTGGTTAAAACTGTATAACAGCCACTGTTATTCTCTCTACGTATCAGTTTTCTCTTTGGTTCTGTCATGGATGGCCTAACAAATTGTATATTGAGCATTTCAAATCATGCTTCTAACATATCCAGTAACTGTCCAACAATCTTCTTTTGGGCTCTTGAGCACAGCTGACACGTGGTGAATCAGAATCTAAACTGTGTTATCAAGAAGCTGTAATTCAAGCCTAGCTTCATGAACTTTCACCAAATGAGCATATAAGAAAACAAAAGCATAATTTATATGTAGGAGATAAGGACCAGTTCCAGACCATTAGGCAGGAACGTGCTTGTCAGTTGGGAGGCAGCTCCCTCCACACCCATTCTGGCTGTCAAATGTACCACAAAAAAAGTTACATTAATAAACATGGATAGGCAAGCTAGTCAAAATGTTGAGGACTAGTAACTTGAAAATAAAAACAGGACTGAACAGACTATGTTAGTCTTATGTCTGTCGTCTTACTATTTTTTTCCTTTTCTTTTTATTGTGGCATGCTTAGAATCAGATTGTAATAAGCCAACTAATTTATAAACTATTATCAAGAACTTTTAAAATTGCCATCTTCCTTCTACTTAATTGCTGAATGTTGAAGTGACAGATTCAGGCAGTTGGATGATAAGAACTGGTTCCAAGGAGAAAAAGTAGAGCACCTTCAAGTGCTGGTAGCCAACAAGCAAGATCAGACATCTGATCATTTTGTCTCCTCCCCCTCCTTTAGGAACGCATCCGGAACCATAAGTATCGCAGCTTGAATGATCTGGAGAAAGATGTCATGCTTCTATGTCAGAATGCACAAACATTCAACCTGGAAGGCTCTCTGGTAAGACTATTTCCCGATCATGCCAAATGTGTAGGCAGAGACTGACGGACAGAGCACACTTCTCAGTCCTACAAGGTGGCGTTAAGCTTTGACTAAACCTTTTTTTCAGAAACCAAGCTAAACCTGTCAGAACATGACGGGAGAATCTATGCCATTGTGATAACTAGTTGCTGTATCACGTGTCTTGGACATTGGAATGACACGTATTATGGATCACATGAGGGTAGTTTTGATGTTGCAAGGAATTCTTCTTCACCGTGTATGAGGATTTCTTACCTGTAGACAAATTCCATAAAGCTCAAGAAATACCAATTTACTCTGTGGGGGAAACATATATCTTTCTACTATATAGCCAAAGATAAGAATGTCATTCAGTTAACCTAGATTACATATGTTTAAAACAATTTAAAATAATCTGTTGTACTTGCCTGTTGCCCAAATTACTTGAGACCAACACAATAAGAGATTGGTTCAAATGTCATAGCTCTCATTGGGCAGACCTTTGTATCTCAGCCCTTCTGTCATCTGAAGTATGATTGGAATAATAATATTGGTATATATTACAGAAGGATCACAGTGAGATGTGACATGCCCTGAACACTCAGATACACCATTTAAGTTCTATTATTAGAAAACACTGGAAAGGGTTGCCATAAGTTGGAATCAACTTGATAACACACTATTGTTGTTGTTATTCAAAAGCACAAGGCATAGTCTTTGACTGGAATTGTATAATAGATACAAGTTTTAACCAAAGACCTAAGTATTGGTTAAATATAAATTAGTAGTGGTAGTATTAATTTTAACCGTGGAATTTATATGCACTGAATATGACCTCTGTTTCTGGCTCCCTTGGGGGTTTCCTGCAGATATATGAGGACTCAATTGTGCTGCAGTCTGTCTTCACCAGTGTGAGGCAGAAAATTGAAAAAGAGGAAGACAGTGAAGGCGAGGAGAGTGAAGAGGAAGAGGAAGCAGAAGAGGAAGGATCTGAATCTGAGTGTGAGTACTGTGCTACCTATTTCCTCTACAGAGATTCATATTTGTATGCTAATGGCAGGGCTTTACTGATTATATGAAAGATCCTCCCCCTTTCAAATATCTTCCTGTAATAACCATGGCAGAACTAACAGTAGATTCAGCCAAGGCTGCATGCTGTTTGTGGAACGGAGGAAAGTCCTGTCATGCTTTCACCACCTACACTGTCCTTGATAGAGGGTGAAATGATGTCTCCTTGATTTTCCATGAATAAAAAAGCTAAACAAGTTGTCATGTGGAGATGCAGAGCCTTACGGTTATTCTTCAAAGCCCACTGAGCTATAGCTGTGTAAGGTTTCAAGAGAAAAGATAGTGAGGTTCAGATGATGTAGTAGAGCAAGCTGTGCCAAATAAGGTGAGAGCAATTCATTAAGAATGGCATTGCGTTACTGTCCCTCTGTTCTGCTGTGGTGAACCAGAGCCGGGAACACACAAAGAGGCGAGTGCATGAAAATGGAGATGGACTCTTGTCATATTGCAGCTGTGCTGCATAAAGAGAGAACAGAAAAGCTGCCTTCCTTCTGTCTTACCACCTTTTCTTTCCCTCTCCACAGCTCGTTCTGTCAAAGTGAAGATTAAACTGGGTAGAAAAGAAAAAGTACAAGACCGGATGAAGGGCCGCAGGCGTACGAGCCGTGGGTCCCGGGCTAAGCCAGTAGTCAGTGACGATGACAGCGAGGAAGAGCAAGAGGAGGTAACTGCAGGATGTTATTTTTCCTTTGTTTGTCGGCACTGTTAGGAGGAGCTTCTAGAAAAGTTCTGCAGTTCTAGGGATGGGTGAAGGGAAAAGGAGGAAGAAGGCAACATAGCAGTGAGTCTCCCCATTCATGACAAAACATCCAGTTTTGTCTATGAGTAGGAAATAATTTTTTTGAAACTAGAACCAGTACCTATCTATGAAACTTTGTGGATGATCTGTCACTGTTTCTCTGCCAGTCCTGCAACATAGATTTGTTGTAGGGAAAGTTTACTATTGCAGTGTTTGCGGTGATTGTTTCACTGCTTGTCTTCATATTTATTGTCTCGTGTGCCGTTTTTTTAATATGGGGTAGTGGCATAAAATGTAAAAAAATAAGTCAAAATATGGAAACATGACCATGTAAAAATATAATTAGAATATTTTTCTTTCTTTCTCAGGATCGCTCAGGAAGTGGCACAGAGGATGATTAAGTGACATTCCATAGTTCAGACCTCAAGCATCTGTCTTTCTAAAGCAGAGATGCTCTTTTCCCTTAGCTGCAACGGGTAGCGAGAAGCGTAGTGTCAGATGTTGGTAAACTGTATAAAATTCTTCCATATTTATACTGCAGTGAAGATGTAGGACTTGTTTGTGTCTTGCCTTGTCCTCACATCAGTAGCATTTGTAACAGCATTAATTGTTTTAAAAAAAGAATTATGAATTGGGGAACACTTGATATATATTTTTTTTCTTTTTACGGCAGTACTATTTTCAGTTGCAGTATTGAATCACTGTAGTTTTAACCTGTGGGTGCATGTGTGTAGCAGTCCACTTCCTAGTACTGTATTTTATGAAATAGATTGAATGGCCAGCTGCTCACCAAGCCAGGACGGGGTGGCAGTGGCAACTGTGTCAGTGTCACTGGATTTCAAAACAGTAGTAAATTAAGCAAAAACAACAAAAGTTTTCTTTTGTCCATGTATGTGTCTTTTTTGCGTATTTCACAAAGATGTCAACCAATCCGTATTCCACCAATTATTCAAATACTGCTGCTCTTAAGCAAGTTCTTACCTTGGCTGATCCTGCAGAACCAGGGTTGTTTGCGCCAATAGCTGTTCAGTATTTTGCTCACCTTTTTTCTAAAAGCCCACCTAAAAGCACCATTTTAATCATAAAATGGCAGCCTGTCTTCCAGTAGCCTCTATGATGAGCCAGTCTTAACATGTCTGAGGCAGGAGGTAGCTGCACAGACAGGGGTTATAGAGACACATTGCATTGAAAGATTTTCAGGTTTTAATGACAGTAACCTAGAATCCTGTTTACTTGTGCATAGTTCAGAAAAATTGCTGCACCTATTTGACACGGTGATACAGCACATCTTGGTTGTGCAGATGGACAAGTAACCAGGTAATGCAACCAAAACATACCTTCAACTGCTTGTCAATTGTTGCTGATCTCACACAAACACCAGTAGGATCCAGACCGTTATCTTACATGTCATGCCATAAGCAAAGGGGGGGGGAGGAATTTCTAACCAAGGACTGAACTCAGTTTCAGAAAAGAAGTTCTTGGGGAAGGGAGTTGCGTTATAGTACAGGGTAGGATCAAAAATACCAGCATTTATTAGCTTAAATATCTTAATTTTGCCTTAGGAGAGGCATTTTCACCTTTTAGAACAAGGGGGGAAACCCATACAGTATCTGAAGAAACTACCAAGGGTGTCACATCTGGGCAAGCCCAGCATGGGCATCTGGGCAAGCCCAGAGGGCAGCATTCATTCCCAGTGCATACAGTTCCTTGCTGTGGCATAAAGGCTTCTCATATGGAAAGATTATTCACACTAACATCTACTGGTAGAATCAAGAACCGAAACAACGAAGTTCATATTATTTGATGTATTCGCAAAGGCATTCCCGGCCGGGATCAAATGTTTGCTGTGGGTTTTTCAGGCTCTTTGGCCGTGTTCTGAAGGTTGTTCTTCCTAACATTTCGCCAGTCATATTATTTGACTTATCTGGCTGCTGCAATATTGTACAGACTAAGCACACATGTTAAATAATGTGCTTTTTGCAAAATTTGGATTTCATTGTGTGTGTGCGCGCAACACAGTACACACAAGTCTGACAGTGCTACTGTCTGATAGGAGAAGCCATTGATGGCAAGAGGTTGGAACATTTTAAAGCAAAGCCTGCTTACTACGTATTTCCAAGTCTGGAAATCAAGGAATCCTTCCCAGAAAGAAAAAAATAGTTTAGGGAATCAGAGTGAAACGTATTATCAAAAAGAGACAGGAGTTAATCCATGTTAAGACCTTAATACACTGTGACTTAAAACTGATGAGAGCAAGTTCTGTGATTTCAGAGGACTGGGACCTGCACACATCCATCCCTGTATCCCAGAGACCTGTTACTGTGACTCCCATCACCCCCAACATATTCTCACAAAAATTACTGGAAAAGCTCTCTTTTGCTATCTAATGGCCAAAATATTTACAAAATTAAATTTTAGAAGATGCTGGGGGCTTTCAAAACAAGTAAATTTGTCTCCCGCTTTGCCTACAGGGCACAAGGGGATATTCTGAGCAATTGGGGGGGGCATCCTGAAGATGGTATTTGGGTCCCAGGTCGGGTGTGGCCTGTAGATCACATGTTGCCCATCCCTGACTTACAGTGATAATCCACTACCATTTGGCGGCATCTCTGCCTCTCTTCTCCAGTTCGATGAGCAATGGCTCCCTCAGATAGTTAAGATGTGCTCAGCACAGTGATTAGAGTCCACTTCTCAGATGGTCCACTGCGCCATCACAGTCAGTATAATTGTGTACCAAAGAATGGAAGGTCTTCCAGACGGCTGAATCATGCAAGCAAATGATGCCGCCCCCACGGTGCTCCTCTGCAAGGTTCCGATTCATGTCCCCAACACACGCCCAGCCAGAATCATTTCCTTTGCCCACACACCACTTGGAATGGTCTGACGTGGAAAAGAAACTGGTGGCTGGGCTCTGGAAGGCCACGTCTTGCACATTGTAGACCTTATAGTGCCCAGAGCAGTTGGAAGGCAGGATCCCACGTGACTTGTGCCAGAACTCCACATAGAGGTCGCTAGCAAGAGCCTGGGCCAACCAGCCCGAGTACAGATCTGGATAGGGAAAAAGTTGTACATATGCGCACATATATGAAGAGAAATGTGACCTGATGGGGTGGACATTCCCACCCTTTTTTAAATAGCGACTGTACATACCCCATCACTTCCCTTCCCAATTGTCCCCTTTCATCACCTACCATCGCCAAAGAGACGAAACTTGGCAAAGCTGACAAATTTCTTGCCCTGCAAGGATGTAAGGGTCACACTCGAATTCCAAGGCTTCTTGTGGATGTGCTGCCCCTCTGAAGCATTCAACAAGGCACGCAAGTCCTGGGCAAAAGTACCTTCCACACGATAATCATAGACTTCAGGCTCAGTGAACAGGAGCTGATGCCCTGAGGCAAAAAGACACAGGGCAGAATATCATGCCTACCAGTTGAAAGGGGTCAATTTCAAAAGAAAAATATAGCCTGCACTTTAGAAACATAAAACCAAACACTGCCACCTACTGAATGTGTAAAGGCTGCAGATGAAGTGAAATGTAAAGAGGAGATAGTGAAAGGATGGGACCCTCCCAACCCTGGATGTTACTGACTCCTGTTCCTTGTTAAGAACAGGGATGTGCAAGTCCTGGAGGGCCGAGAGCTGTTCTTCAGTTGGGTCACAACAAGAACTTCATACAATGTTCCCTCTAAATTTCAACCACACTGGGTGGGGCTCCATTCCTCGTGTGTGACTGCCCCTCCCAGGGTTCTGCCACAACTGGAACCAAAGGGGCTGGAAATACTCACTGGAGAATGTGAAAGGGTACAGATGAGGCTTGTGAGCCAAAGGTAAGAAACCACCCTTCAACCCTGTCCTTTTGAATCACACATACATATGAGGCAATTGTAGGCTGAGGCAGCTACTCCATCCTAAGAAGCCTGGGAAGATATCCATGTGCTGCTTTTCCAACGAGGACTATCTGTATTGTCTTAAAATTCCAGCCCACCACCACCTACCAATCTCAATGAACTGGCTGTATGGGTAGGTGATGCACAGGAAAGTCTGCCCATACTGGAGTGCACTGACAGGCCAGGCGTATTCCTTCTCATCTAGACGGGGAGGGAAATTAGGAGTGCTGTGAAGGAGCCAGAAGCCCTGGATTTTATCCAAAAAGATGACTCCTAGGGGGAGAAAAAAACAAAAGAAGATGGTAATCCTTGACCCCCCCACACACACACACACATCAAGTCCTAGGTGGCCATCCATTAGGTGCCTTCACACCTGTTCTGCTCAGAACAAGTGCCCCCTAGATCATGTTTCACACAGGAAATAAATTGGCCCCACTGGGCATGGCTAGCATTAAAAACTCAGCCATTTGCAGGACAACAGATTAACGTTGCTATGCGGGGCACCACTGTATCTGTTTGTATTGTCTTAAAATTCCAGCCCACCACCACCTACCAATCTCAATGAACTGGCTGTATGGGTAGGTGATGCACAGGAAAGTCTGCCCATACTGGAGTGCACTGACAGGCCAGGCGTATTCCTTCTCATCTAGACGGGGAGGGAAATTAGGAGTGCTGTGAAGGAGCCAGAAGCCCTGGATTTTATCCAAAAAGATGACTCCTAGGGGGAGAAAAAAACAAAAGAAGATGGTAATCCTTGACACACACACACACACACCACATCACATCCTAGGTGGCCATCCATCAGGTGCCTTCACGCCTGTTCTGCTCAGAACAAGTGCCCCCTAGATCATGTTTCACACAGAAAATAATTGGCCATTAAAAACTCAACCATTTGCAGGATAAGGGGCCACTGGCATGCTTCGGAGAGAGCATTCAGAGGAAGGACATTACCTTTCGTATGGCCCTTGAGGCTAGAGGAAAGCTGCTTCGGAGGCTCATCGTTGTATAGGACATAGGCCGTGTCCTCCTGGAAACCAAGAGAGGTCATTAGAGTACTGTTGTGCTCATCTGCCTCATGACAGGGCTGGCCCTGCTGCCCACTCTCATCTCGCCTCAGCTACAGCCAATGTATCACTTACTCCAGATGTCATATCCATGCATCACCCACTCCCTGCACTATCCCCCAAGCTACCAAAGAAATCAGTAATTTAGCCACCCTCCCTCTCGCTGGGTTATCCACTCAGCACAGGCCCAACTGTATTCACAGATGTGAGGGAAATGAAACTATACCAAAGAAGCTGTTTTGCGCAGTCCAGGCATTGAGCTCCATGCATCCTCCTGATCCGTTCCACAGGGTTTCTTGGACACGCATCTGAGATTATGCAGAGGAGCCATAAAACATATTTGAACTGGTTCCCAGCCTCTCTCACCATAGTGGAAGACATGGATTCCAGTTAAATTTCTTTTAAATTAAGGAGGCATGGAAAAAAACATACCATGCTCTGGCTACTACTAAATAATCTTGATGCCTGAGAGAGAGAGAGATCTACCTCTGGCAGATGAAAATCTATTAGTCTGGTTCAAGGCAGCTCTTGCTCTCGGCAGCAACTGGGCCTCCACAGCTGGTCCTTCCCCTTCCACCACCACCATTTCTAGACTGACTCATGCTAAGGCAGACTGCTTGTCCTTCTCTCACCTGCCTCCGTGTGGCCTCCGAATACAGCTGTTGCAGGGTCCGGCCCACAGCTCCCTCTGTGCTGTTCATCAGACTCCTGCCTGGCACCCAGCCCTTCGTATGCCCATCTTGATACATGTACTTCATGCCCTCTGCTGGGGTGCTATGATGGTGTCTGGGCAGCTTGTAGAGAATAAACCTGAAACCAAATCCCGTTACAGATCACAAAGCCATCACGTATAAGGCAGAAGCCTGTCCTATTCTTGTCTAATTAAGTCACTGGAGAGACAATAGGACTGCAAATTAGCAATCGCAAGTGGGGGAAAAGAGAGGAGATTTTTATTGTTAGCCATATAAAACTGATAGCAAACAAATACTCAAAAGTAGAGAATCTCATCAGGAGAATTTGATGAATTAACTGATTATTTATGCTTTAATAATAATCATATGGGGGACATGGTGGCGCTGCGGGCTAAACCGCAGAAGCCTTTGTGTGCTGCAGGGTCAGAAGACCAGCAGTCGTAAGATCGAATCCACGTGACGGAGTGAACTCCCATCGCTTGTCCCAGCTCCTCGCCAACCTAGCAGTTCGAAAGTGTGCAAATGCGAGTAGATAAATAGGTACAGTACCACCTCGGTGGGAAGGTAAACAGCGTTCCGTGTCTAGTCGCGCTGGCCACATGACAACGGAAACTCTTCGGACAAACGCTGCCTCTACGACTTGGAAACAGGGATGAGCACCTCCCCCTAGAGTGGAACACGACTGACTAAAATGTCAAGGGGAACCTTTACCTTCACCTAATAATCCTATACTGTCATATCAATTCCAGCTTAAGGCAACCTTTTCCAGAATTTTCTAGGTAGACAGAAGTGGTTTACCCTTTCCTTCTTCTGGAGGAACCTCTGGGACTGTGCAACTTGCCCAAGGCCACACAGGCTAACTCTACTCATAGGAGGCACTGTGGGGGAATTGAATTCCCAACGTCTGGCTTACCTAAATCAGTGAATGACTCAGGAAGATTATGGTGGAACAATATCCAATGCAGGGTATTACCCGGCCTGTCTTATACAAGTCATTTTGAATTTATCAGTCATCAGAAATCACCCATTTATCTAGTATACCTAAAAAGCACATTTTTAGACCTCATGGTCGTAGGGATAAAATTGAAACTGCCCTAACAGTTCTACCTAAATTCTTCCCAGAGATAAAAAGGATGAGGAGGACAGGGAAATCCATCTGTATAACCATCCTTTTTTTAAAAAAAACTACCCTGAAAATTCTGGTAAAGGACAGCACATGAATTCTTTGAGAAGAGTGGTTCTCAAACTGAGGTCCCCAGATGTTCTTGGGCTGCAGTTCCCAGAAGCCTTCACCACCAGCTATGCTGGCCATGATTTCTGGGAGTTGCAGTCCAAGAACATCTGGGGACCCAAGTTTGAGAACCACTGCCTTAGATAACATGAAGAATAAACACACACCAGTCCACAGGCTGTCCAAAGTCATCATAGCAGGAGATCCCGCCATCAACGGTGTGATGGGTGAAGGTGACTGACAGCAGCAGGATGGCCAGCACGAGGCTGTTGGGAGTCCCTGCAAAAAAACAACAGAGAAGCAGAAGCATCTCAACGCTGCAGAACAGCAGTAGCAACTGAATCCCACCAGAGCCGGTGGTGTAAACATAGACAGAGTCTCCAATATGCTATCCAGCCTCTTCCTCTGCATAGTCTTAGTATACCTTATCCTCCCCCTCTGCTCCCATTTGGAGAAGCTGGGTGAGCCAGGCCTCATCTGCTAAACAGTAACCCCCCCCCAACACACACACACAAGAACACCAGAAGGGGCCTTGCGCCCGGTGGATTATCCTGGGTGGGTGATTCCAGTCTTGCTCTCGGAATGTTTATGCTTCAGTACAAGTAAAAGCCCTCAACTAGAGATGGGAGTATTCATATTCATATACAAATATCCCTGCACAGGTCGCGTTAACGAGGGTCCAGCCCCGTGGGGCCAGGCGGTCCACTCACTGATCCACCGCGGACAGCTCGATTCTACCAGTGGCTCCCCAGTGCACGATCCACTCGCCGCACGATTCTACCAGTGGCTCCGCAGCGCACAATCCACTCTCCACTTCTGGCAGGAGGTGGAAGGACAAGCCTCACTGCTGAAATGTCCAAGAATGGCTTGCACACTTCTGGCAGGAGATGGAAGGACAAGCCTCGCTGCTAAAATGTCCAAGAATGGCTCACAGATCGCGCACTGCAGAGCCAATGGTAGAATCACACCGTCTGCATCAGATCGGTGAGTGGACTGCCCAGCCCCATGGGGCTGTACCCTCGTTAACACCACCTGTGCGGGGATAGCCATATACGAATACCCCCATTTCCATCCTAAAACTTAATACGTGTCAAAAATTTCACCAAACTCTTCTTCAAGGGGTAGGAAGGAAGGTGAACGAGTCTGTTAAGCCCTTACTGAACAAGCCACTTCCCACAACTGCATTTGCCCTAACCTCCTTCACCCCTTGCTGATTCGTTTCCGCCTTCCCTCAGATCATCCCCCTCCTCTCAGTAGCAAGTAAGTTGTTCTCAAGTATGGGCTGCCATTACTTGCTGGCAGACTTCACATCTGCTTGTTGCAGCACGTCTGTCTCAATAAATGTTTCTCTCTGCTCGCATGTGATTGAGCAAGGACTGGCCTCACCCACACACTCCCAAGCAAAAAAGAGGGAAGGCAAGGCACTGCCTGAACCAAAGGCGGAACTTGAAAGCACAACTTCACAATTTCAGCCTTGTGAAAAAAGCACAGGAAAACTCCAAGCACCACTGCTTGCTTCTGGAGTGAAGAGGCTCCTAAGGCTGCCAATGCAGAGATATCAAGCCTCTTTTCTAACTTGTCCTCCTTAACAGGTCGTTTGGGGACTTCCATGTTGAGTTCTTGTACACTTTCCCCCAATTCATTCATTACATGGGGTATGGGCCCCTTCCAGCCCCATGATGCAAAGATGTCCTGTGTAACCCTCCCGTGTTTTCCCACTTCCTCTTTCTTCTTGCTTTAAAGAAACAAAGGAAAACAGAGAGGAAAAACAAAACTGGTGCACAGTTCCCCAAGAAAAGCTCTCAATCTAGAAATTCTCAATTCTATGGACAGTGAAACAGAGAAGACATGGTCCAAAACTATAGGAGTGTTATATACAGATGACAGAGGTGGTCTGGATCATACATCCATGTATATGAGGCAGAGCCGGACCAGGTGACTTGGCTGTCTTGCAGGGCAGGGCACCGAGAGCCCTGAATTGGACCTTTCCCTCCGGTGGAGAGGTTGTGTTTCCCTTCCCCGCAGCCAGCAGGGGCAAGAGGCAAGGCGGCAGCTGCGAAGGCGGCCAAACGCATGCCCTGCCATGATGGGGCCCCAGCCCGGCTTCTCCTGTTTCAAAGGGCAGGCCTGTTTGGAGCCACCTGATGCCAAACGTTCACAGGATTAAGAGCCTCACCTGCACGCATCCTCTCCGGGCAGATGGGAGACCCGCTTTGCTCCCAAGGCCGCCCCCTCCGGTTCACCAGGAAAAGTCACTCTGCAGCCGCTCTTACAACGTCTTCCTCGTTAAAGGCTTTTCTCTGGAAAGAAAAAATAATAATAATGATAAAGTCGGGGGGGGGCGACCACGGGAAAACAAAGAAGGACAACAAACGGAAGACCACGAACTCTGGACCTCTTGCAAACTTCCATTTAAAAAAAGGGGGGGGCACGCTATTCAGTAAGCGGAGGCCGTCTGGAAGCAACCACACCCCGTCAGTGAAGGAGCTGCCGGGCATGTGCAGAGTGCCCAATGCTTTCAAGAGGTTTAAGCGGCGGGACTTAGAGATCCGCCGGCGCCGTCCAGAGGGGCTATGTGGCAGCCCCCCTGCTCCTTCCCGCCCACATCTCCTCCTCCGCTCACTTCACTCGGCGACTTTGCCTTTTGCCTCCAAACCGGCAGGCACTCTGCACATGCCTAAGCGTGCCCGCTCCCACAGAGGGTGCCAGGTCGGCGTTCCAAGAAAACACCCCAGCTCCACAGCCTTCTCTCTCTCGAAATCCTGGGAGGACGTACAAAAGCAGCAGGGAGAAAAAAGGCGGGGCGGGGGCGCCGACCGCTGCTCCCTCTCTAGGAGAACCATACTCGTGGGAAAGGGGCCAGCCGAGAACAGTGTTCACACGGTTCCCCTTACACAGAGTCTGGCACCGGAGCGCCCGCGAGAACACAGCCCGCGCGCGGCGGACGGCAGAGTAAGCCCAGTTCTGACGCCGGGTTTCCTCAAAGGGCAGCGGGAGGGGCCTCTGGGTATCACGTGCCCTCGCCCCCCCTCGCCTGGCGCTCTTGGATTGCAAAGTGCGCGCCTGTGTAGGGGGGGAAACGGCTCCTGAGGGGGTTGGGGGGCGGACGCCAACCTGCCTTAGCCCTCCAAAGAATAAAGGGCCTTCCCCCCCCCAATAATTTGAGGGAGGGGGAAACCCAGAAATTTCACTAGCAAAAATCTAGACAGGCCTGGGACTTGCCTGTTTTCCTTAAGTTCGGCTCCTGGCTTTCTTCCCTTTCCCCGCCTTCTTCTTGCAGGTTATATTCACCTATTCACTATTCTGGGCATTTGTCTTTCATCTTGTTTTCAAGAAAAAGCACCTTTAAGTTTATGAATGAGATACTGTGCTTCTGTTCCAACGATTCAACACTCGAAAGAGGATGGCTCGATGTTGTTGCCTGAGTTGCCAGCAAGAAAACTTTGCACCACAGAGGGCAGCTTGAATTTTATTTTTTATTTATTTGACTTTTACACCACCCATCTGCCTGCCACGGCCACTCTGGTTGGTTTACAACAAAACACCTCCCCCCAATAATAATAATAACCAGTGAAGACAATAACAATCAAAAACAATATTAGACATCAACTAACATAAACTAGCAACGAAGTAAAAAGTAATAGGAGAGTTTAAAAAGCCTCATCAATATTGATACTCCTGTCAGAAGTCAAGATGATCTGCAGGATACCCTCTTGCACTCACTACCAGTTCTTTTAGCCATTTTGGTACCTAAAGAACACCCCTTGTAGCAAATCTGTGTTTGAGTGAGAAGTGCTCACTACCAGTTCTTTTAGCCATTTTGGTGCCTAAAGAACAGCCCTTGTAGCAAATCTGTTTGAGTGAGAACTGGTTAAGGTAAAGGTAAAGGTTCCCCTTGACATTAATCTAGGGCGCGGTGCTCATCCCCATCTCCAAGCCATAGAGCTAGCGTTTGTCCGCAGACAATCCTCCGTGGTCACGTGGCCAGCGTGACTAGACATGGAACGCTGTTACCTTCCCACTGAGGTGGTACCTATTTATCTACTTGCATTTTTATATGCTTTCGAACTGCTAGTTGGCAGGAGCTGGGACAAGTGATGGAAGCTCACTCTGTCACGTGGATTCGATCTTACGACTGCTGGTCTTCTGACCATGCAGCACAGAGGCTTCTGCGGTTTAACCCGCAGCGCCATCACATCCCCCAAAGAAGTAGTTAACGAATGAAAAAAAGAAGCCAGGTTCTGGTTAACCCGCAGCGCCACCACGTCCCCCAAAGAAGTAGTTAACTAATGAAAAAAAGAAGCCAGGTTCTGAGGTTTTCTTATGCTTGATGGCTCTTAATAAGCACAAATGGATATCTTGCATGACCATCTTGACTGCTGACATGGGTGTCCTCAACATTCAGGCTGCTCTTTGCTATGTAAAGTTTGTCAACTCTTTCCTGCTGGCAACACAAGCATAATATTGTGCAGCAATATTGAGCCAGTTTCTGGCGCTTTCACTAATGGATATACAGTAGAAGCATATTTAAACCCACATTCATAAACCAAAGGTTTTTGGAGAGCTTAATTTCCTGTCTTTTTAAAATGGAACTTTAAATATACATAAACTACACTCAAAGAACAGGAACTTCCCTCATGTAAAATTACCCAGTGCTAGGGGAGTCCAGAAGACGGTCACATGATCTGTACTATGGTTGCTAGGGAAGGGCAGAACCAAGAACAGCTGGGATGTGGCTGCAGTCCCTCTACCGAAATATTTGGAGGGGCTGTTTTGGACTCAATCAAATAGCAAAGCAAAAGTGGATTGATATGGGAAGATGTCATATGGGAAGAATGCAAACAAAAGACAAGAAAACAGTTATTGTAGTAAAAAAAGAAAAAGAAAAACCTACATGGATGACCAAAGAAATATTTAAAGCAAGTATCCTGAATGCAATTTTTCAGTGACTGCCATGTACAGTGAATGCAGTTTTTCAGTGACTGCCATGTACAGACAACAAGAACTATTACAATAGCCAATGCAAAGGAATAGAGGAGAACAAAAGAGGAAAAACAAGATATCTGTTCTAGAAGATCAAAAAACTCAAATGGAAAGTTAAACCTAGATTAGGAATGCTGAAATACCAACAGGGAAGAACATTATCTGACCAGGAGAAAATAAAGACTAGATGGTAACAGTATATTGAAGACCTACTGTATAAGAAGCGATAAAAGGATGACAGTCTCTTTTGAAGAGAATCGTCTTACAAAAAATTTAGTTCTAGAAAGTGAAGTGAAAGTGTGTCTAAAAGCACGGAGAAGAAATAAATCACCAGAGACAGATGGAATACTGATAGAACTATTTTAGATAGACCGAATCCATCAAAATCCTAACATGTCAACAAATATGGAAATCAAAACAATGGCCCAAAGACTGGAAGCACTCAGTTCCCAAGAAAAGAGATGCCAAGAAGTGCCATAATTATTGATCCAATTTCTCATGCAAGTAAAATTATGGTCAAGGTGTTGCAACAAAGGCTTTCATATTATATGGATCTTGAACAAACAAACAAATGCCTGACATTCAATCTGGTTTGCAAAAAGGAAGAGGCATTTGAGATCATATTGCAACTATCTGCTGGCTAATGGAGCTCACAAAAAGATTTCAGAAGAAGAAAAGTTTATTCTTTCTGGACTACAGCAAATCCATGTGAATTGTTAGAAGCTATGCATTGTTCTGAAATAAATGGATGTGCCTCAACAATTGAGTGTCCTGATGTGTAAGCTTTATTGTGGACAAAAGGCTACAGTTAGGACTAGAGATGGGATATAAATACACATATTATCACCACAGGTGCCTGGGGAAACCAGACCCTCCTCCCAAAACTGGCAGGCCCACTTGCTGCTTCCCACACAGCATGCGGGGCCATCATCGTTCACGTAATGCCACTCGTAGAAGTAGCCCAGCCAGCACTTCCTCGCCTCCCCTGCTCAGCAGCTGAGCAGGGAGTCTCGCCATTCTGTCTTCTTGTCAGAATGGTCAGCTATGTGGAGAGGCGGGGAAGGCCCGACGGGGCTACTTCCACAATTGGTGCAATGCGAACAACGATGGCCATGTGCACAGCGTGCACCACGCAGCGAGCAGTAAGTGCACCAGACAGTTCTGTGGGGAGGATTCAATTTCCCCAGGCACCTATAGTGCCGATATTAATATTAATATTTCTCAGGATACAAATATGAATATTACATCTCTAGTTAGGAAAAAACATGGAGAGAGAGGATGGATTCTTGCATCGGCAAAGGTGTCAGAGAAGCGTGCATTCTGTCCCTAACTGGTCAATCAGTATGTAGAACATATCATACATGAAGCAGGAGTAGATCCAGATGAAGAAGGAGTGGAAGAAACATCAATAATTTTATATATGTGCATGACACCCTCTTACTGGCAGGAAGCAGCAAGGACATGAAACAAATTCCAATGAAGCTGGAAGAAGGACATGCCAATGTAAGCGTACAATTGAATGTTAAGAAGACAAAAATCAGAGGACAGGATAGAGGAGCTGCACAACTCTTATAGTTGACAATGAAAAATTGAAAGAGTGAAAGATTTTGTATATCTTGGTTCAGTCATCAATCCAAATGGAGACTGCAACCTAAAATATCAGAAGACAACTAAGACTAGGAAGGGCAGCAGTGAAAGAATTAGAAGAGATAATCAAGTGTAAGGATTATGTTACTGGGGATCAAGACCAAGATCATCCATTCTCAGTCACAATTTACAAAGATGGAAGCTGGACAGTAAAGAAAACTGACAGGATAAAAAAATTGTTTGAAATATGATGCTGGATATGCCCAAATTTGGAACAGAGCAAGAGCAGCTATCGGTTACAAAAGTGCCAGATTTGGTACTGATCTGAAACCCAAATTAAAATGCTATAATCTTTTGGTTGGATGACCCCCATTTTTAGAATTGCCTTATAGAATGTTGACTTACTCTGCCAAGATCATCCACAAGATCATTGTTGAACTCTTGTGCAGCAATAAAAGGCTAAACTGCTGGGGAAGCATATTGATTCACAGCAGATGCCTCCCATCCCTTCAACATATGTGGTTATGCATTGCACCACTTTTGAAAGGGGCATCTGGCAGAATCAGTGTTTACAAACCACTCTGCACTCCTTATTTGAGTGAGAAGGACCTATTCCCTATCCTCCATGGTAGAGGCTGGAAGTAGTAGCTGTTAGCTAGTTACTTAATAATGACTGTGTGCCATCAGGTGAATTCTGACTTATGATTACCCATTTTCAGAGCTTTCTGGGTAGATGCTGTGTGCCATCAAGTGAATTCTGACTTATGATTACTGTACCCATTTTCAGAGCTTTCTGGGTAAATGGTTTTAAGACATGGTTTACCATTTTCTTCCTTTAGGGGCACCCTGGGACTATGCAGCTTGCCCAAGGCCACACAGGCTGGCTGTTCTGGGATACATAGTGTGGAACTGAACTCCTAACATCTGACACTGAACTTCCAGACAGCTTTTTAAACTAGTTACTTACGGAAGGGATATTGAAGTAAATACTTTCTGAGTCTCTCTTACGGTCCATTCTGCTATTGCCTCTTAAAGATATGTACAAAAATGCAAGATAAAACTAAAACCAATACTTCCCTTGCTTTGTTGTTGTTGTTTAGTCATTAAGTCGTGTCCGACTCTTCGTGACCCCATGGACCAAAGCATGCCAGGCCCTCCTGTCTTCCACTGCCTCCTGGAGTTTGGTCAAATTCATGTTGGTTGCTTCGCAGACACTGTCTAACCGTCTCATCCTCTGTCGTCCCCTTCTCCTCTTGCCTTCACACTTTCCCAACATCAAGGTCTTTTCCAGGGAGTCTTCTCTTCTCATGAGATGGCCAAAGTACTGGAGCCTCAGCTTCAGGATCTGTCCTTACAGTGAGCACTCAGGGTTGATTTCCTTTAGAGTTGATAGGTTTGTTCTCCTGGCAGTCCAGGGGACTCTCAAGAGTCTCCTCCAGCACCACAATTCAAAAGCATCAATTCTTCAGCGGTCGGCCTTCTTTATGGTCCAGCTCTCACTTCCATACATCCCTACTAGAAAAACCATAGCTTTGACTATGCTGACTTTTGTTGGCAAGGTGATGTCTCTGCTTTTTAAGATGCTGTCTAGGTTTGTCATTGCTTCCCTTGCTACTTAGGATTTATAAGAGAATGGCATATGACCTGAAAAACTCCAAAGTATCTCTAAAAAAGTTCCTTATTCAGCCCATTTAAAGAAATGTTTGAACACAACTGAAGTGTTACTGATTACACTTAAGTAACTTAAGTGTTACTTTCTAGACCCAAAATACAGTGGTACTTCGACTTACGAACTTAATCAGTATTAGAACGGCGTTCGTACGTCAAAAAATCCGTAAGTCAAGGCAAAAGTTCCTATAGGAATGCACTGAAAACCATGTAATTCATTCGTATATCTAGGCACTGTTCACAAGTCAAGGCATTCATTCCCATAGGAACGAATGCAAAGCCGGTTAATCCATACTCTACCATGAGGGGAGAATTTTTTTCTTCTTCTTTTGACCTAAGATGAACTTAGGTCAAAAAAAGGGCAGGAAAGGTTTTTTCGTTCGTAAGTCGAGGCTCCATTTGCAAGTCCAAGTGTCATTTTGCGAACAGAGCTGTTTGTAACTCGAAACATTCGCAAGTGGAGACGTTCGTAAGTTGAGATACCACTGTAACTGTAACTACTAATAGTCCTAACTAGTTACTTAGGGTAACTAAATCACATCTAATCTAGTCACGAAATACAAATAGAGACCATTTTGCTTTTGTTTTCATTATATTTATTCAGAGTCATTCGTAACAGGAATGTAAGTGTCTTTATGAAACTAGAGGGGGCCATAGCCCCTTGGGTTGGATATAGAACAAGGGAGCTGACTGCAGATGTGCACATGGCCGGCTGGAGAATAAGCCCCCCAAAAAGCAGACAATCAAAGTCAGCAGCAACAGCAACAGCAGAGTTTTGGCTGCTGCCCACAGCAGGTTCCAGGCAACCCAGAGAGATGGCCGTGGAAGGGAGCTGCGAGAGAAAAAGAGATAGAAGAACACAGAGGATAAATTACTGCCACAAGAAAGAAAAATATTCCAACAGAAAAATGGCTGTATGGATTGGGAAGGTTCTCAGCAGTTTGGAAGGCTTCTCTCTTCAAAGAACCTTCTATAGTACAGTACTGTAGCAGTTTTAGAAGAGTAGCCGTGTTCGACAGTGCTAGCATATCAGGC